TTTTCGTAGAAAATGCATTTTCTTATAATTTAGATCTCATTTATCAATATATCCATGGAATATTGACATTTTAGATTGTTTTTAAAGCAACAAATGTACAAAATGTACAGACTAGTAATATTATCGTTTTTAGCAAAACGATAATATTACTAGCCCATTTGTATGCAAAAAGAAAACTATTCAAATCTTTATAAAAGAGTATACCATTAATTAAATATAACACCATTATTTCCGCCCATATACTAATTAATTACATACTTAATTGTGTTCGTTAATAAATTATTATAAATAAATGTGGATTTGAGTCAGAAATCAATATAATAATAAGTTATCAAATTAAAGTCTCTGTTGTTATAAATAAGCATTTATTAAAAAATGAAATATCATTTTTAAGGTGTTACTTTTTATCACACTGTCTAATGCCCATACAAAATTCAGTTTTTTAGTATTTGGAGCAATTATTATTAATCAATGCAAACAGTCAGTTAATGTAGTTTGAATACTGGATCATATTAATTGGTCCTCTTTAACAAATATTTGAACAGTTTTTTTTTATTTTTTAATGAAATAAACGAATTATATCGACAATATTAGTATCTGTACTCTTTAAAAATTTGATACATCTTTAAAAATAATCTAAAATGTCAATAGTCCATGGATATATTGATAAATAAGTTCTAAATTACAAGAAAATAAATTTTCTACGGAAACTTAAAGAGATAGGTAAAAAATGGTATAATATAATTTGATAGACATTTAAATTGTGCATCTGATTCTCGTAAAATATACAGTCTATTTAAATTAAACAAGTTATTACCGTTTGAAGCTAATAATTATTTAAAATAAATTTTTAGACACTCTGTATAAGGTAGTATTATTTTTATTATTGCAACACAATAACTGATCAGTAAATAAACTTCAGTAAATATTTAGTATTAAAAACTTTGATACCCTTGGAGAAATGAAGCCTTAAAATTTTACTGCAATTTCACAAAATTGAAAATATTTCAAAAACGGAAAGGTTTAAGTATAATAAACCTTAATCAAATTTACCTTTATTTTAATCGTAGAAACTAAAAATGTAATAATATACAGGGTGTTCCATTTAAAAAAATACAACTTTGATATTTTTTACTTATTTGGAACACTCTGTATCTTGTAAAATTATTTTTAAATTGTACCTCTAATAGTCCTTCATTGAACCCAAAACTTACAATTTGTAAAAATTTCATCGTTTAGCTACAATACTCCGTGTCGTATGTGGTGAACAACCCTGTATAATGGGTGGTGTATCGGCGTTGGAAGCATAGGGAATCGTATGCAAATTTAAACTGCCCAAATATTGGCTCCTCTGTTGATTTTGCAGCGAAGTCGTAATTAGGTCTATTAAAGGTCGGCGTATGCTGAATACATAGGTAAAATTTGAACAATTGTGGACAAGCTGTTTTTAACTAATTTAAGAAAAACTGCATTTATTTTTAAATTAAAACTTAACAGGTAACAATGCAAAACCAGCAAATGTCAACATACTTTAAGTTGTCAACCTACGATTGAATCCAATTTGCTCTGCTATATACGATACTATGTTATAATACTTACGGTTAGTGTGCCCGATATGTATGTTTGTAATTTAAAACTTCAAGTTAGTTGTTCAAATTAGACAAAAGCCTAAGGCTTAAGAAATATAATTTGATATTGACAAAATTATAAGTTAAGCATACCCAGACCTTTAGAAACCCTATTTACGACTTTCTTATAAAATCAACAGGGGAGCCAATATTTGGACAGTCTAAAATTTCCATGAGATTTCTTATGTTTCCAAAGCCGTGCGCCGGCGCCGATGCACCACACGGTATATTTTTCTGTAAAATATTAATGGATTTGAATTAAAATGGAAACTAGCTTCTCACTGGCGCTTGAAAGAAAAATAGCAGCAAAATAGCTGCTTTGGTGAAAATCTCCAATGCTTAAACTTCTGTTTAAATTAGATGTTTTCTCTGTTTCTTAATTATTTCTATATGTACGAGTAGAGTATAAAATTTAAATTTGGATGAACCCAAGTTAGGACTAGTGAAAACATTGAAACTTTAGAACTTGAAAAAACATCTAGAAATAATTAAAATAGAATTTTGAAGACTCCATATTCAAGTTCAAAAGAAACAGATTCCGAGAAATTTAATTTGAAAAAATTAATTAAAAATATCTCTCTATATTTAGATGAACACTCAAGATAAAATGAAGAAATAATGAAAATAAAATTTTGGTGACTCAATATGGTTCAGGTTCAAAGAAAACAAATTGCAAGTAATTTAATTTGAAAAAATTAATTATAAATATCAATATTTTCCAAAAGGCTAGATGTTTTGGTTCTAACAATATTACTTAGAAAATAATGTCTATAGATATCTTTGTAGCGAGTTCATTTCTTGAAAATAATTTTAAGGCAGAATACATACCATGATGGTTAATACATAATATATATATAGTACCTATATAACTTATAATTCCATACGTACGAGGCGTTTCAAAAGAAATAAGAAAGATAGTATACACAATACATATCACGAACATCCTTCAAAACACAAAATGCACTACCATTAATCCATTTTGACACAAACTAAACCAATGAACACTAAACAACAAACAAAATACTATGTGAATGTGAGAAATATTTAATGTCAAATATCTAGACCGTTAAAAGTTCGAATTATTATTAATTATTTTTGGTTTACGTCAATAAGTAATTATAGTAGTAATTGTAAATTTGAAGTTTTATGCTTTTTTAACATTTATGTTTGTTTAATGTCATTTTAAATTGTCTATAAGTGTTCTTGAATAATTGTATTTAGATATTTTAATACTTTTTCTTATTTTTTTTGTGTTTTTTTGCTTCTGACGATTGGAGGAGATATACTTCCTAAAACTTTAAGCATTTTTGTCGCATAGCCATTTTTTTTACTAGTAAAAAATCACTGACAAGCTGGTCCGTTTGGATTATTTAACACAGTGGTGTGTACAAAAGTAACTTTTATTTTGTAGATTTTTCTCTTTCAATGGTCAAAAATTACAGATTTTTTTTGAAAAATTAACGCATAGGTATAACAAAATTAAATCCGATTGAAAAATTATGACAGGACTTGAATTACTATACAATGTATGTTTAATAATATAAAATTGGCTCAAAACTAAAAAAAAAAATGTCGAATAAATTTAAAAAACGAGCGCAATCTAAATATTATAAAATCTTCGTTCAGTTAAAAAAGTAAAAAGAGAAATTTGGAAATTCATCTCATAAAAATTCGTTTAAGCCGGCTCCCTTCCACAAACACGGTTTTGCTTTTAAATTCTATTCACCGTTTTCGGCTTTTTAAATGCAAGACACTTGGCTCATTACTATTAAAATAAAAAAGCAATTTTGACCCAAAACGATAATTTTTATAAAGATCCTTTTTTAAATAGATGATATAGCTATAAAGTTTTGAGTTTTCAAGTAATGTAGTTTTTCTATTGGCCTTGTTCTTATCAGGGTATTTGTTGATATTGCTCTAATTTCTGTAATTTATTACTAGTTGAGATGGCCCGCTTATTTAAAAATAAACATAATAATAATAGCTCCCGTATATAGCGTTTAACGCCTTGGGAGTAGCAAGGTACATCTTGCCAGACTAGAGCTGTTCGGTATACAAAAAAGGTAATGTGGCTAGCACTACGCTTCAACCGCCTATTATTACCTCAGGATTGTGAATCCCAAGTACTCATTTAAGGCTGAGTCGACCTAGGTACCCAAACTATTTTTATTTTAATAAAAATAGTCGGCTCATGAAATGCCGGGTGTGGGATTCGAACCCACTACCTTGATTCCTTGAGACGAGAGCTGGTACCTCTACGCCACCGGGCACCATTAAAAATAAAAAATAAAAAATAAAATTAAACATATTTCTCTAAATTCAAACATTCAGTTTTAAGACACTTTGTATACCTAATTATTGCTTTTTAAAATATTTATACAAAAACTAGGGAGAGAGAAATCAGACAACGAACAGAACTGATAGGTGTTAGGTAATAGCTTTTATACTACCGGTCGAGACGTATTGATGTTGGTTTGTAAATTTTGGTTATTTTGACAAAATATGTTATTAAATTGTTTCCTCATTATTTAACTAGGTTTAATAGAATCGATTTATGCTGTGATATATAATTTCAGTTTAAAAGTCCAATCGTCCATTCGTGCCGACGTGTTTGGTTCAGTGTGACAATAAAGGCATTGTTGAATGTACTAACATTTTTCGACTCTGACTGGGCGAATATCTTAGCTCACGAAAAAGAAAACAAAACAATAAATAGAATAACTCATAGAATAAATCATAATCTAAAGATATTTGCACCAAACCTTCAACTTTAGCTTCGAGACTCGCGAGCAAGAGACCTTAGTACATGCGGGTGGGGACCTGCTAAACTAACAAAAAACTCTTTAGTTTTGAATGTGTTAAATTACAAACCTTGGTATGAGGACATTTTTTGTATTATTATTGTTTCTCTTTTATTGAAGTTCAGAACAGCATAGCTGGATTCTTTGGAATAGGATCAATGCTTTCTCTGCCGTGCTCTTTTACTTGCGAATTTCAGGAATTTCAGTATACAATAAGTAGGGCTATTTACAAATTTTGAGTTTTATTTACATAAGCTATTCTGCCCAAATTTTTTAATATTGCTTCTGCCGCGATTTTTTGTTATACAGTTGGCTAAAATTTCTCTTTAACTTTGTTGAACGAACTTGGGTTGTTTTACTACATAGGATTGGTATTTAATAATGCTGTGCTTAAAAACAATATCTATAATGAATGATAGAATAATTCTTGAAATCATTGATGCAATTTCTATTACTGTTAGTTTAGTTATAATATAGAATGATGTGTTAATTTTTTTTGTTTGATGTATTTAATTATCGATTTAATATATTTCCTATTGGATTATAAAAATATGTATTTCTTTTGTTCTAGGTATAGGCGTGTACATTTCTCGCGTTGAAGAAGGCAGTGTTGCTGAAAGAGCTGGCCTAAGACCTGGCGATTCTATTCTGGAAGTGAACGGTACTCCTTTTACTGGGATATCACACGAGGAAGCACTGAAGGTAATTGATGCTGATATTTTAAGAATCATATAAAGTTTATATCTTACCATATATAAAGCATACATGTATGAAGATCGTAAATGAATGAGTAGATACAAAACATTCAAGAGATCTTTTTCGTTGAAAAATAAGAGGGATTTTTGTATAACATGCTATGTTTTGGTTTTTCCCTCCTACAAGTTAACCAACAAGCATTTTTGTGTGTTGACATGAGCCAAAAAATAAAAAGTTCAGGGAAAAATTTGTTCACGAAATTATCGCAGAGAATGTTTTAAAGTGAAGCGAAAAAAACAATCCTCGATTAACGCAGTATTATAAGCTTATAATTGTATTATAAGCGAAATACTAAAGTTTGGTTTGGTTAGGTTAGGTTACTATGCGAAAAACTCTTCGAAACAGGTAAAGGTCACGTTTCATCGTCCAACTTTGTCGCATTTCGGTTTATTTCCAGTTGTCTTGATCCACTTCGGTGTGCCACGACCTATTTTCGATTCTTAAAAGCGCCTGAAAACTACTCGTGAGGAATGCGTGGTGTTTTTTTTGGCGTTTCTTGTTGCCTCGTTCAATATTGTTTCGTTTTGAGATGTTTCCAAAACGTGGCGGTATCTGTACCCAAGGCAAAGGACTTTTTTTCATAAATCTCAGTGAAATAAGTAAGCCTAGATGTTTACGTAGCAACCCATATTAGAAAATGATTAAAACTAAAGTCTTGTGTAACCTTTGAGGAATAACTGTTTTCATATCGGCTTTATCATGTTTACTTATTTTTCTGAAGCCACCACAACGTTTAAACTTGATTTCTTCATGCTATTTCACAAAATAGTACGATAAATATAAGCCCGTGTTATAAAAATTAGTTCCCACGTTTCCTGGAATAAAACAAACAACCAATCACATCGGGTCTCGATCTATTTCAGGAAACGTGGAAACTAATTTTTATAACACGGGCTTATATTTATCGTACTATTTCCAGAAATATTTTGCGAAATATTTCCAGAAATATTTTGTAAAACATTTCGCAAAACAAAACAAAAAACATTTCGCGGATAGTGTAGAGGCTGTTTAACATTTAAAAGACCAAACATTTTTCAGATGCGCTTTTTTTCTGCATCCGAGTATTACTTAAATATCTTGTTGAACTCTAAAGTTATCAAATAATTGGTATAGTCTGTGAAACGAATAACTTTGAATTTGACAGTTCCCGCGGGCTTTTCTAGTGTTATTAATTTTATTAGTTTAGCAACTTGCGGCCATGCTGACGGAATGCCGTCTCTAATAGAACAGCCTCGGAGCGAGATTTATGACGTCACGCTAACATAATTATTTCGTATATTTGACTATGACTAAAATCTTACTCCATAGTCAATGTAGATAGTTTTAGTGTTAAGAATAATAATTTTAAAAAATATGTGGCCATCTTTTGACAAGTTTATATTAGTTTATTAATTGCAGTAAACATTATGTGGTGTGTGGTGTGAATATTTTATATGTAATTTTTTGGATTATATTCGACACTATTTTTTTCATATGACACAAGACTGATGAAGGTTATAATATTAGCCGAAACATTTTTTTTAAACGAAAAAAAATAATGAAAAACCAAATGAAAACTTAATCAGCGTTTTTCCCGAACCTAAATCCCAAGAAAATAAAAATTTTTAGAATAATTTTATATATGAAATGACAGCGGTCTTTATTTTATAGCCAGCTCTGACGCCTTTTTTCTATGATATGGTATTATTTGCAAATATAATTTTTCGAACATTGATACTTGCAATGCAAATAATAATACATCACTATTAGTAGAATGTTTTTGTTTGTTTTTTGTTAAATTAGAATGTTTTTTGTTAAATTAGATCGATTTTCAAACCCCGAAATTTACAATATAGGTATTTTACATTTTATCCATTATCTTCTGTCCCTATTCATTATTTGTATATTGTAAAACATTTGCTGCATTTGTTGGGTTCATAATTTATTTGCCAAAGTATTTATTACTATAAACAGGTATATATATAGTATTAATTAACTGTATATTATGTATATTTCATGTAAATTATATCATTTTTAAAATACAAACAAAAAATACGAGTAATAATTAATATAGAGCTGCTGGCACGTATACGTAGACGTAAAGCATCTTATACATATAAAAATATAAGAAATGCGCGTGCGTACGTAAACGTTTACGTGTTTCTAGTCTGTGCCGTTGTTCTCTAATGTGTTTTCCATGTATTCTACAACATATTTATTTAGTAGTATCTAACTAGCGTGACGTCATAAATCTAGCTCCGAGGCTGTTCTTTTAGAGACGGCAATGTCTGATATTTAGAAATGTCACAAGCTGATGACATTTTAATATTGACAATTATAACATTTCGTGTTGATTTTTGCAAGAAGAGGAAGAACTGTCACTTGTTTTATTATTTTCCTTTTCTATTTCACGAAAGTAAAAAGAGTTACCTATCTGATTCGTTCAGGCGCTCAATTTAAAGAATATCAGTAACTTTTTTGATAGAGGGATTTTATATTTGCCACGTTGGTAAAAAATAACGGTCAAAATTCAAAGTTATTCATTTTATAGACTAAATAATGAATTGATACTATATTGTAATGATAGAATAAAGTATGTACATATTTTAAAAATATCAAAATATGGTGAACTTTCTTGTGTGTTTCTACTATAAAGAAACTAAAGACAGTATGCGGCTTTTATTAAAAATAATCGTTGCAGAAACAAAGAATAACTGGAAAATATAGTGTACCTTTTCTTGTACCTTTTTTATTCAAAGTAATATAAAAGGCCGGCTGTTCCGCTTTATATACAAACGTATGCATTTCAATATTGTTGGCTTGGTTTCTTTATATTATACAATACTATGTAGCGTCTCTATTCCGTCATTTTATTAGGCTTATTTTAAGTTTCCGTGTATATTTTTCATCAAAATATTCCATTTATAAAATATGTCAATGTTCTTTATGAACTGAATTTAAACAATAAAACAGAATGTCTTTTTGTTGTATGAACTTATATGTGAAAAACTTATGTGGTTAATTATTGTAGTCTTCCAATGAGGGGCAATATGAGAGTGACAGTTGGCTGTCTGACGATTTAATCCAAAAAAAAAATTCAGTGGCGGCGCTTGTTTAAATAATCCGGGGATCTGTAAACTCAGAAAAACAAGTTGTTATTCACCTACCCCTAAAAAGATAACTTTTTGACCTCTATCGAATCTATCGAATAGTCAATCTAAGGCTGGAGAATAAAGGATCTTGTATTATTAAACAATTAAAACCCCGTCTACTAAAATATATTCTTTCTAAATAATACGACGCGGATAATAATTGGAATTGTGAAATACACGGATTATATGTGCATACGACCCAGCTGTAATAGTAAGGAAGCCTAAAAATGCGTCCAGACTTGAGCATTTTAGCCCGAACGAACAGAACGAACCGAGCGCACAGGAACAAGCAGAGCGAATAGGCCGAACAAAAGCATTGCTTTTGCGCGAATGACAAAAAGGGATATATTTTGTTTCTTTTTCTACTGATCTAAGCCACACTTTTCCAATTTGATACCGGTAAATCATCAGCTGTTTATTATTATTCCTGAACTTTACTGAACTTCACTATATTTGTGATTTTAGATCTTTATTGCGACAGATGAGAAAGTAGTTTGTGATAAAAAAAACATAATTTTCATAAACCGAGTTAATGATTTGTGAAAATATTGTTAAAATTAAATTGTTTTAAATTGTTTCAGGTACCTACGTACTTTATTACAATATTTACCAGTTTTGTATTACAATAATTTTTGTAAATACTTCTATTTCTATGAATATTTAAGTTACTTTTACTCTTAATTTTTTTGAAAAATAATGTACCTACCTATAAAACTATTTCGAGGAAATTTTTTCAAGGAAAGTATTTCAAAGTAGGTTATTTATACAGGGTGTTCCAGAAATTAGTGCAAGTATTTTAACTGGTAGTATAGTTCACCCCAATAACACGCCTATGAGTTTTTTTCGCGAAAAGAATAATTGAAAATTCGAATTTTTTTTGATTTTTTTTTGGATTTTTTTTAGTTTTAAATTAAAAACCATAATTTCTTGATAATATGGAAACATATAGTCTAAGAACTACTAAAGTATTTTAAGACGTCTGGCTCTTTGATATATCTTTTACTATGCTCTCTGGAACAGCATGCGGCCCGTCTGACTGCCGATACCCGTTGCGTTTACTACTGCGCATCGGAAGAAGATCCTATATTTTTTATTAATTTAGTCCTATAAATTCTAGTATTGAATATAAATCGAAAATGTCTCCATAGCGCAGTGCGTAGAGTTTACGACCACGACCCGAAGATTCAGAGTTCAAATCCGGGTCAGGTCAAAGACTTTTTTATTTTATTTTCATTTATATTCTGATAGTAAAGTATTAAATAATTCTGGTAATTAAAAAAAACAAATATTTAATACTTTACTCTCAGAATATAAATGAAAATAAAAAAGTCTTTGACCTGACGCGGATTTGAACTCTGAATCTTCGGTTCGTGGTCGGAAGCTCTACGCACTGCGCTATTGAGACATGTTCGATTTATATTCAATACTAGAATTTAAAGGAATAACTATATAGGATCTTCTTTCAATCGCAGTAGAGAACGCAACGTTTACCGGCAGCCAGACGGGCCGCATGCTGTTCTAGAGAGCATAGTAAAAGATGTATCAAAGAGCCAGACGTCTTAAAATACTTGTTTTTCCGACGTTGCTAGCTCTCGTACTAATAGGTATTAGATTAAATTTACTTAATATGGAAACATAGATATTAGAAAGAAAATCCAGAAAAGATCCAGTGGTTCTCAAAATTTTAGCAAAAAATCATTTTTTGGAAATTTTCAAAGTAAAATAACTCCGTTATTTTAGATTTATTTGAAAAAAGATAAAGAGAAAATATGCTTCTTTCTACCACCTTTTAAAATACTTGCACATATTTCTGGG